TTATGAGAATTTTAAAAGTTAAAATACAAAAAAAATGAGCCTTGAGGGTATATTATATAATTAAATTTAATCTTTATTTGAAAGTATATTGTTGAACGATCTAATTTACAAAAAGTTAATTTTATTATTTAATTTTTTAACTGTGTAATTAACCATTTAAAAGACTTCAAGTTTTATTAAATTATAATTATTTAAACAGTTTTTTTAACATTAATAAATTATCATTAGTATATTTCATTTGGAAGAAAAATGGAAGAGAACACTCGACTGTATGTAACTCTATATCATTGATACAGCTGTTCGATACATTGACCTATTTGTAGAGAAAAATAAGCTTTAATAAGAGAGTAGCTTATTTATCTGGTTCTTTTTAAATGTGAGAAAAGTATAAAAAGCTCAAAAACTATTTATTTATCGTATAAAAATGACTAGAGATTTAGTAAAAAAAACCAGTGTGAAATTATTTATTTACATTTCTTTGAAGTTCCAGATGAACTATTATCTAAAGGTGAAAGTTGAATATTTTATAATTAAAAATTACTTTTTATTAATGTTTTATTTAGGAAAAAACGTATCTTATTTATGGTCGAAAGCTTTTACAGCATTGGTAATTAAAAAATATTGTCTATATTTATGTATGTACTGTATATATCAAGTAGATGAAAACTTTAAGATTGGCATTTATATATTAAACTGTCTGAGAAAACTTGCATTTACTTTAGTTTGATTACCAAGAAAAAGGTCTCTGCGATATGTCAAGAAAGTGATAAGGTTGTCAAAATTCCAAGATAGAAAGTATTAAGGAAAAAATAAAAATAAAATAAAAAATATAAAAGGAAAAAAAATCTGAGTAAGTCCGCGAAGCGAACGGATGTAATATCGACTAAGCAATTATTTTGATTTAACTAAAATATAACGAAAAAAGTTTAAAATATAAACAATTTAAAACAAGTTCAATTTAAATATTCATTATAGATATTTTATTAAATGAAGCTAATTAATTTTTTTAAAAAAAGTCATTATTAATTTTATTATAAACTGTATATTTGGTGTGTGAAAGAAGCGAAAACAAATGAACAATTTATTCATTTATATTCGTAAATAAAGCTTTATTTTAACGATTTATATTTTGTTATAAATTTTATTATCATTTTAATTATTATTATTATTATTATTCAAATAATAAAGCTTTTAATTTATAATTTTAATATTAAGAGTTTGAAAAAATTTTTTTACAACACTTATGCTTTATTTTCGATTAAATTTTTAAAAAGACTTTATAGAATCAAATATTTACAATTCATTATACAATAATAGAGTTTATTAACTTTATTATTTTATAAATTTTGTAAATCAAATATATTTTATTACTTTTTAAAAGTATATTTGTTTATCTATCTCTACTATAAATTTAGTAATTTTGAATTTAAAATATTTCTATTAGCTTAAAACAAATTTTATTTTTTTCAGATATTAATTGCGATATTCAATTGAATGCGATCCATTCATAAAAATAACTAATAATTGTGATGAATGCATCGTATATTCATGCCAAATTTAAATGTTTAACATGATGTTTCCATATGGATTCTCATCTTATTTAAATAATTTGTCATATCTTAATATTTATTATTCAAATCTACTTTATACAGTATAATTTAATTGGATGTTTTTTTTTATTCAAAGGCTTCAATTTGCATAATATAATCCATTTTGAACAAACATATTTGAACTATATATCATCATCTTTTAGCATCTTTTCAATTATAATTTCAATGTTGACAGTTGAAAAAATTCAATATGAATGTATTCTCTTAAGCAGTAATATCTCATTCCATTAAATTTTTAAAAACGAATTTTATAAATGGGATCAAATATTTATGATTCATCATAAAATAATGAAGTTTATTAACTTGTTTTACAAAATTTATAAAATAATAAAATTTTTTTTTATTAACTTGCTAATTAGATAATTAAAGGGTAATCCAGGAAAATTTAATTAAAGTACAGATTAGATATTGTTCAAATCTTTAATAATAATAAATAACAATCTTTAAAACTTTTGTTTTTAAATTCATAGCTTAAAATACATATATGTATTTTTTTCTTTATAAATTAGAAAATTTAAGTAATTTTATTAAGTAATTAGTAAGTCATTAAGTCAATTGTTTATTTACATAGTTAAAACAATAGAAATTTTAATTTATAATTAATTAAATAAATATTTTAATATTAATTAAACTGTAGGGGAAAAAAGTAAAGTTTTATACCGAGAATTTTTCACTTTGTAAAAAAAAAATCATATCCTGTTAAATAAACATTATTTAAAATATATAATCTTTAAATTACGTAGGCCTGATATGTAATAAAATCTATCTTAGAAAACATTGATTCAATTATAGTTCACGAGATCTTACTAAATATCATATATCAAGAATAACTATCTTGAATAAATCACGTATGTAAGACGACCGTTTCATATAATAAAACACATATTAAAATAAAAATAATTATTCGAATTAATAACTAATTCAATAAAAATAAAACAGAGAAAACAATTAAGATATTATACTAAATTTTTTAACAAACATTTTCTTTAATAGTCTTCACGTTTGGTGACATATTGACCATTCTGGCAGAAAGAAGGGACAAAGCATGCTACTGTTGAGAGCTCTTCTACTCTCGCACCACTGTAAACACACAGTGAGATATCGAATTACATCGGTGCTGCGGTCACGTAGGAGCGTATAGAAGCTCCATGCCGACAGACACAAGTGAAATATTTAGCTATCCTTTAACGCGGTTTGGATCAATGTCCGACTCACAGAAAGAGAAATTAGTCGAGTGCCGATAGTGACGAGATTCTCTACTTCACTCAATCGATAGAAATTGTTGTGTAGTGGTTACTTCAGTCACATTTACTAGATTGTGTGACCCTCGAGATGAATATTACGAGCAATTTCTTCAGACTGTCTTCACTTCATAAATTCTTTACTGTAGAAAATATATATATATATTATTATTATTACTATTATTATTACTTTTATTATTTATTACCACATTTAGACTTTTTCGGCATTACGATTTACTAATGCTAATAAAATAATATGTAAATTTTTATGTCAAACAGTGATTGGATTTTTATTATATTTTATCGAGCTTCTACTTTCTTTTTATTTTTTTGTAAATTGGATTGAATAAATAAAGAAATATTTATTTAGTCTTCAATTAGAGGTAAATGAATATCTTTCGTATTTATTAATAATATTCCATTTTAATGTTCTTTTTATATTAAATCGATTGAAAAAGACATTGATTCACTTGTCAACACAACGGCACTTTGTGTGCTCTTTTATTTTTTATTTTTTTTTATTTTGCGTTCGTATCCCATTAACGAGCGAGTAAGGAAATTTGATAATTTCCTTTCTCTCTAATGCAGCTAGCGTACAACCATAAGAAGTAATAAATTTTAACAGATGACTACGTGTAAAGACTCCAAACAACTTAGTCTGTACAGATGACTCATCAGAAGTATTTCAAAAACAAATTGTCTTTAGCTGACTGTGAAAGTGTCTACCTAATTCATTAGATAGAAGCTGACGAAGCTAGTAAAAAAAAATAAGATGTTCTTCTAGAGCATTAAAAATCAGCGGGACGAACCACCTGTATTAACCTTTGTCACGTGACTGATTACGCTAAGTGCCTAGTTCAGGCTCGTGCAGCGTATGTTCTGTTAGTCACGCCTTCGCTTACATTATTAGATTATGCAGGTATCCTATTGCATGTCGAAACTATTCAAGCAACAATAATGTTCCCAAGCATTAATTGGAAATTCGGTTACTAAAAAAATATATATTTTTTAAAATAAAATACATAGAAATTTGAAAGGAAACATTTAAAAAATAAAATTTAACTTAAAATTCTATCTCGTATTGAATAAAGTAAATAATATAATTAATTCTTGAAATTTAATATAACTATAAAAAATTTATTAGTATAAGATGCAACAGCATATTTTTAAGTTTTATATTAACGTTTTAAATTAAGTTAATAAGGAAAATGGAAATTTAAAAAAAACCACTTAAAAATTTAGTAGAAAATAAAGAAATAATTGATAAAATATTAAGAAAATTAATAATTATAATGATATAGTTCAAATTTTAATGATATTGATCTTATTTTATTAGTAAAATATAAACTTATTTTTTAAAAAATTTATATTGAAGATGATACTTAACAAGGATCAGATACAAAATACCTCGTCAAAATTATCGTAAATTTCGACTTAGTAAGAAGCGAATTAAGAAAGTTTTACTGTAATTAAAACAAAATTAGTTTTAATAGAAATCAATAAAATGTAATGGATTTGCATACTTTAACAAAGCTTGTTCACTACATTTTAAATATGCGCATTTTAATATCGTCATTAAAATTCCCAAAATAATGTAGTGATGAACGTTATTATATATTTCATATTAACAGTTTGTTGTTTTATATATATTTTTTTAAGTGGAAGAAATAGAATACAGAAAGAAAAAATTTTTAAGTATATGATAAAAAGTCTTATTTATCTATATTTAAAATCAATAAAATATAAGCGCTGTTGTTAATATAGAGATCAGTATTGATTTTTAAGAGTGCAACGTTGAAGAATAGTTTAAGATTACAGGAATATTTTCAAGCGTTAAGATCGATAATCCAATAAAGATTATCCTTTTGTTAGTGGCAAAACATTATTCCATTGCGACGCGTTATATTGGATCCCTTTAATATTATCGAAGGTGTCTATTGTCCACATTTATCTGAATTCATTAGCGGAGGGTTTACCTCAATTACCTATCACCGAAAACTTTGTGATTTATTCAACCTGTAGTACATTTACTTAAAATTTAAAATGATAATTTATAGTTTTAAATTTACTTATTTATTTTTCATCAAGAGCTTAATTTGATATAATTCCATTTTATGGTTTATTTTATAATCACCTTATTTAATTCCTATGTTTTATTATAGGATTTAATCCAGCTATTCCTGGTTATCCTCGTTACAGTATGGTTGTAGATGAAGAAAGAGGAGTTTATAATCTTAGAATAAGGAACACCAATATGGATGATGAAGCTGAATATCAATGCCAGGTAAATTCTTTTAAAATTATGGATTATTTATTCATTTTTTAAAATCGATTTTTCATTTTAATACCAATTTTTATATACAATTTTAAGCTAGAACAGGGTTAATTAATTATATAACCTGATACGCTGAGTATCAATTATAAACTTGCGAATTTCATTTTCTTAATTAACACTTTTATGGATAAATTCCAATATTTTAATAAAATTTAGAGGAAAAAACAGTTTTTTGCTTTCATAAAATTTTAAAAACAAATATTTAAACATCTGCTATCATCTAAAATCCATATGCCAAGGATCTTATGAACTTAAAAGTCTTTATATATAGATTTGAGATTCTAATACTTAGAATTTAGGATTCTTTTAGAACGAATTTCACTTTAAATAAGAAAATAAGAAAAAAAACTTTTAAAAATAATAAGGTTTTTGAATATTTTTAAAGAACAATTTAACCTATATCAATCAAAATATGCACGCGATCAGCCAAGTTTGATCGAAAGTAAAGTATATATTGAAGGTCCACCCAATATGAATAAAGTCAGTTTATATAGTGTTACTCAATGAATTCTCGAAATTTATTCATTAAAGTAATTCAATGGATTATTTATGAAATTTGATTAATTTTTCTTTATCGTACTAGAGTTTCATCTAATTATCTAAACAATAAAAGAAAACTCCACAGTCTACACTTTATTACTATCCCATTAAATATGGATAAGTATTTTTACCTCTCTTGCCTTCATTATGTGGAAGTTCTTCAAAAATATCCTCTTCAATTTAGATTTCAGAGGTGATTGTCATCGACTTTCTTTCTTCCAGAAAATTGGCAATTTTTTTTTTCTTCTGTTTCAATTGCAATTTTGTCTTCCACGGTCTAAGTAAATAGCTAAGACAATACGAATAACTAGAATGTTATTTATTCTTTTATATATAACCTTTTACTTTTAATAATTAATTTCATTTGGTTGAATATTATTATTATTACATTTCCCTAGGAAATTTTCTGATTAACTTAAATAATAATATATAAATTTATTTAAATTACATTAATTTAATTTAAGGCTAAGGAGTAGAAATGAAAACACTTGATTAGGATTATTTTTAAAGTTTTTAAAGAGATATTCAATATTGAAATATCGATATAATTTTGTTGAAATATTATAATCACCGTTTGAATAAGAATGAGGGAATTGTGTAACCAATAATTTTCATAAATATGTGCTTAACAGATGTAAAGTTGTCTGCACGCTACAGCCTTACGTACTTTTATAAAATCATGATAAGTTTACCTTACTTAAAAACTAAAAAAAAACAAGTTAAAAAGCTTGCAGATATCACGATAGAACTATTTAAAACATGCAAAATATTAACATAATATAATGAAAAATACGCAAATATGTCATAAATTGCTAAGTAAGATGATAAAATTGATTTAAAATATTAATTTCTTGTTATTGTAATTGAACAATACAATAAATTACCCAATAAAAATTCTTAAGTAACATTTTCTTTTTTTAAGAATTTAATTTGTTCAGATTCATTAGAATTTAACTAACATTTGTAATTTAAATAGTCGCGAGTCTCTTTAAAGATATTTAAATTTAATTTTTATTCGAGCGTAAATATCGTTTAGTGTTTACAATTAAATTAAGCTTACAAATTGAGAATAGACGAATGGTATTTACAAGACATAAAAAGGAATATACTTTAACTGAGATTTCTCAGTTGTCACGTAAAACCTTCACTTTAACGCTGTAATTATTTGTCAATGTAGTTTAGCTGTCTCTGGTTATTTTTCTCGTTTCTTCGAGGAATAAGTGAGGCCGTAAATATAGAAGTCCCTATTGCAAAAATACTCTTAGTAGCTTATTTTATATGCAAATTCAATTCATAAATTTGTTTCAGGCGACTATTACCAGAGTAAAGCGAACAAATGCATTTGAAATCTACGCTCTTCATAATAGAGTCAGTCAGTCTTCAGTTCTTCAGCGATAACATCAGCGATTATGCTGTGGCACTTGTTCAAAGCCTCATGATTTATTCAAAGGCAAGAATACTGAAAGTTTCCTATTGCAAACGGACCAACTATTTCTTCTGTTTTAATGCAGATTTTTCGATTTTATTTCATTTTAAGTTTTAATTTTACTAGAGTATTGGGAATATCTCAGAGAGAACTTTAAGTATTCTTAACGTACTTTACCTAAACTTAACAAAGATAAAATTATGTAAATTCTTTAAAAACCTTTAAAAATTACTGTAATTAAATGAAACTTTTTAAAGTTTTAAGTTAAATTTTTTTTTTATATTATAATAGAAAAATAATATATTATCGACTGATTTATTGTTCGATAATAAATTATTTGACATGATACCACAGGGTATATCATTCGCTTTATCTCATTAAAAAAAGTTTCAGTAGTTAGGCTGATGTAGCTTATTTGATTCGATAAAAGGGAATTAATTTTTATTGGTAATGACTTCAGGATATAATATTCTTGGAGATGATACGAAAATATTTTTTTTTAAATATAATTTTAAAAATAGTTTGTGTTTTATTAGAGACGAATAAAAATGATACGGAAAGTTGAGAATAGTTTAAGATTACAGGAATATTTTCAAGCGTTAAGATCGATAATCCAATAAAGATTATCCTTTTGTTAGTGGCAAAACATTATTCCATTGCGANTCCCTAAAAAAACTACTTAAAACTATATAATTTATTATGTAATTTAAATTAAACTGTTTTAAATTTAAATTACTATTAATAAAGTTATGTCTGCATTTTATTTATACGCAGATAATTATACGTAACTATCAAAACTAAGCTTTTATACATTATAAGACTAGTTACGTAACAATTATCGAATAAAATCTTAATTGTACTCTTACTATCTTATCTCGTGTTCTATTATCTAATCAGACACGCTTATCTCTGTTCCACATAATCGTTGCTGATTTTTTTAACCTAACATTTGTAGCATTTAAAGATTTCTTATGCGGGTCTACAGCTACAACTGTACATAACTGTACAATTAGGCATGCAAATACAGTATTTGAAATATTTCATATATTAAAAATTGCATGAGTTATGTAACTTTGCATCTTTATTATCCAAAATACGGATTAATCTCGTCTTTTACTGTAAATTCTTCATAAAAGTATTTAAATTAATAAATTGATTACGTTTCCATATAAATATATAAAATGGGCTAAAAGTCAGTTAACTGAGATATATATATATATATATTAAGAACAATTAAAATAATAATAATTTAATTGCGATAGCCTGGCCGAACTCACATTGGGTCTGATAAAAGATCCTTTTAGTGTTCTCAGGGCAAAACAGTTAAAGAAAAAAATTAAATATATCCCGGTTAAGTCCTTTCTAATATCTTAAATGTAATTTATATATACATATTTTTTTTTTATTTTGCTACCAATTTAATATAGATTTATATCAATATTTTAATTACATTAATATTCAGTTTAGGATAAATTATTTATAAATTAAACTGTCAACTTTTTTTCACATTTCAAGCTAGCAGTAATCTGTTATCGTTTTCGAGACATTTCAAGTTTAACATTTCGAATAGTTTGAAAGAAGAAAGTTTACGATAATGGCCCGAGATCTGGAAAATAGTCGTAGATATTAGATAAAAAAAAAGAAGAAAAAAAAAAATAAAATAAAAATAAGGAGAGAGAAACTTTTTCTACAATCTTTTTGAATTTTCAGAACACGTATAAGGAAAATACAAATATCAAAAAGTTCTAGCGAAGAATGAAGACAATAAAATGTTGTTGTGATTTATGCCACCCATCTCCAGCGTGAGTTTTAACACATTTTTAAAGCTATGAATTGTATAACAGTTACAAAGTTTTAGAGGGAAGGAAGTAGAGAGTTTATTTTGTCTGAAGATAAGCATGTCGAATAGGTTACGTATGACTAGCAAACGAATCTAAATTTTAACGTTTTGACACACATTTTTTTATTTCAATAAAATAGTAAAAAATGATAATTTAAGAGTTACATAAAAATATAATAAATTATTATACTTAAAAATGTATTTATTTTTAGATAGATATTTGAGTGCTTTAAATGGATTTCTAATTAGTTAGGCTGAATATGTAATGTATCTATATATCTGTATTTATTATAAAGTTTTTATTTAAGTAATTTTTATCGGTTTTTTTTTACGTAATGAAAAATTATTTTGTTTTATTTTCGTTGCTGGTCACGTTAGTTAAAAATTATCTTCTAAGTAATCTCAAACTATGATTAATAATTTTAATTGAGATTGCTGAGCAGAACCGATTTGAAAATTTATTAAAATTGTTCTGATACAAACTAGTAGTAATGGAATTAAATAAAAAGACATAAAAAGAATTATTATATGTTTTCGTATACATATATGTATAGTTTTTCTTTAAATATTCCTGTATTTTTCCCTATATTTTCTTACATTCTTGTACAGTATTATTTCCTGTAAATATAGAAAGACATACAAGTGTACGTACAAACACATACATATATCAAGACATAAATATATAAAAATGTAATTCATATTTCTATACGAATTCCTCTATTTTCATACTTCTTTACACGGGTACTCTTCATATTTTTGTATACCTTTCATAATTAAACATACGAGCATTCCTATTAAAACTTTTATAGTTCCCATGATTATTTCTTTCACCGGAATTATAGTAATTATATATCACACATATAATAGTATTCCTACGTCTTCAATTTTAATTTTAATATAACTCGTTTGAGTTTATTCCTAAATAACCGTAATTCGTTAACTTTTTCAAACTAAATTAACTATATTTTATAAATGAAAACTATTTCAATATGACTGATAAAAATGAGTCAGTAGTTATATATTTGACGAACGTTTAAACAATTTTCCAACGATTCGATTTCATTCAACTTTGAATAATGGTAAGCGATTATATGATGATTTTTAGTCTATTAAAAATGTCAAGGAACATTAACGTTCGCCATC